CATCTTGCCAGCAGCCTGGCGAGGAGTTAAATGAGGCTACCAGGTATAAACGTTACCAAAGAGGAGGAAAGATCCCAGACCCTATCAGAGTGGCTAAATCACTGGATTACCTATTGGTTCCCAACAGGAGAGCTGTATAGTTTCAGACCTTGAATGACTGCAGAAGGAGGAAGCATTTATCACCCCATCCTGCCAAGGCTGGGATCAAGAGTTGGTTTCCAAATTCACCCCGCTGCAGTATGTTTACCTCACAGATCTAGGGAAACATAGCCACTAACAGAGCTGTGACTTGTAGCCGCTGGCATTTTTCTTGCCTGATTTTCTGGAGGAAAGTTGCTCCCCTGGATGTCAGAGGCTAGGGAAACCAGCACTGGACAAACATGCTTCACACCAGTGAGGTGTCAGCACATCTCAACCCTCAGGCTCAGCCCAAGCTGTCTGCAGTGACTGGAGGAGACCATGCACCTGACTGTCCTCACTCCAGGTCTCAGCTGTACCTCCTGGACCTGACTGTTCCCAGCCCTGACAGGGAGGGTGGTTTGTCAAGTCCCTTTCCAGCCATTTCACAGCTCCCAGTAAGGGCCCAGAGAACAGCCAGGAGCTGGTTTTAACTAGCCCAGCTGCCAAGAGAGGTCTCAGATATGGGGAAAGAGGCTCCTTCGGTCTCTGTGCAGCAGTTCCAGCAGTTCTTGTCATCTTTGCCTGCCCAGTCAAGCTCTGACTTCCGCTTCAGAACTGAGCGGAGCTGAGACTCATACCCACTGTCCCTTACACTGACACATGTCCTTTGGAGCAAGTCTCTGTCCACAGGCAGAATCCTTTTGCCCCGGACACCTGTTAATGTGGAGAACAGTTGGATGTCCCAGTTTGACTCAGAAAAAGCTGTCCTGAAGTCAAGGTCAGCCTGCGTGTTGGGCGGAAGAGGCAGAGGGAGCCCATGGCCAGGAGTCAGCTCTTTGCTGTGGCCTGGGAGGTCAGGTAGTTCAGGGGCTACTTTCTCTGCTGCTCTGACACACAGCAAGTGGCAACATCTGGCTTCAGCCACAGGCAGGTTTTGGGAGGGCAGCTGGCCAGCAGGACAGCTGGTCTTGCTCACTGTAGAGGTCCTGTACACCCTCAAGTGTGGATGGTCATGATCTGGAGTACTTCCATCCTCCTCTCTGAGCTGCTTCCCATGGGAACTTGTGTTCACTCTACTCCAGTCATACTGGCTGACAGTGCTTGCTGCAGGCGTCTCTGTGGGATCAAAACCCACAGAGACAGCTTCAAGGGAAGCCAGCTGTGTTGCAGGGTCCCCAGGGTCCCCACACATGCACAGCTCCAAAGCAGGGGAGCTATGAGGTCTGGTGGAGAGCTCTGTGCTTAAGGGCAAGCAGCCAGCCTGTGCCACACTGAGCAAGTCCAGCTCAGATATCTGTCCTGCATCCTGCACATCCATCCCACCATCCACTGGGCTTGTCCGCTCATATCGAGAGGGGGTACCATCCAGCTCCAGTCTGGGCTTCTTTCCTACATGGGTGCTCTGTCTGGAGAGCAGCTGGCGTTTCCTGGAGACAGGCAGTACTTGCTTGGGCCTGTCAGCCATCTCCTGCATTTGCTGTTTATGAGGTTCAGATGAAGATGCAATTGTTTTTCTGACCTGAGCAGTCTCTACATGGGTCTGCTGGCCCAGGTTAGGAGCCAACCCTGAATTTGTGCTCCCCACCACAACAGATCCCTCTGTGGTGTCCTGCACAGCACAGACCCCTCTGGTGAATCCTGTTCCAGCAGGCAGCCCCAGAAAGCACTTCTCAGACAATCCCCTTCCTTCTCTGAGATTACTAACCCTGTTACTGGGCTGGTGAGTGGAGCGTTCCTTCATCTTCAGGCCAGGATCAGCCTCTGCATCAGTAAACAGTTCCACAGGAGCCTGCTGTCTCTCCTTTCCCAGCTCTGCTGTCACCATCTCATTTCCTCTGGTGACTTGTGCTTGAGGCACTAAGTGTTCATCTGTCAGGCACGAACATGGCACCCTGAGAAGAAGCATCAGTTAACACTCGCTCTCTCTAGCCTCAGGAACTCTTTCCTCCAGGAAGACAAAACACTTTCTGCAGTGCAGTGTGTTTGAGGCCCTTGCTCAGGAGGCAGTAAGAAAGTTTAGACAGGTATCCCTCATATCACCACTGGCAGAGGAGACAGCCAGCACAGACTTGACAGCTGGAGGCCTGGGCACAGGAGTGCTACAGGGTATCAGGGTTTGTGTTAGACATGGGGACAGAAAACAAGGACCCAGCTGTCCTTTCCAGTTTAAAAGGCCCTAGAAATCCACAGGGATTTCATGAAGCAGACGAACTCAACTCAAAGAAGAACATTTCCCACAGCTCATCTAAACCTTGCCTGGCAAGTGCCAGGCTATTCAGTAACAAGCCACTTCTGCAGGGTCATTCCAAGCCCTCTGCTTCCTGCTGGGAGATTTCCTGGTGTGGGGAATGAAGTAGGAACTAGTGCCACAGTAGCATGGAGATTCAGATCCTGTTACTGTGACAAGGCCATGCAGTAGCATACTGCCTTGTTGCTCCAGGAGTTACAAGGTACAGAGAGACTTACTTGGCCGACTGTTCTGCAAAGTTGTTGGTGAGCTGTGAAATAACGTGATCCACAGGGGCATACTGAGAGTCGTCCCGTGCAAACTGTTTGTGCTGGGGGCTCTGGAGATGCTGGAAGGTGGTAAAGGCCCTCTTAGTAATACCTACGGTTTCACCGGAGGGAGATTTGCAGTAACAGCCACCTCCCACAGCTTAACAGACTGGAGGGCAAACAGTCTTTACACCAAATAGGGCTGTTTGGAAGCAGATTTGGGAAACGTAGGCAACACCGTTACCCCAGGATGCTTACAGTGAATGTTCTGTTCCCATAGACACCTACTGATGAGGAGGTTGCGTCTGTATCTAACAGCAGCCTACGGCTTTTCCCAGCAGCTACTAAAAACGCAGACTCCAAATATGTATGTCTATCACTAAAGGCTGGGCTCTAAAAGCCACCCCATTTGGCATCTCCTAGGAGATGAAACCCCCTTCCTACTTTTTAAAATCAGCTTATGTGCCCCAACTGGCATGGAAGACGCTTCCCACTTTGCGGCCCAGGTAACAGAACAGTCCTCAAGGCTCTCCCACCAGAGACGGGTATATCGTGCTTCCACCTTCAAAACCATTACTTGCACAACCAGGAGGTCTAAGCATAGATGTACTACGGCTTTCATCTGTAAGACTGATCTTACCAGGATATCAGGAAGGCTGCACATATAAAAATCTGCCTTCCTTCTAAAAGGGTCTATATCAATAACAGACATATCACGATAATTAAGTGGTCAAGTGGGCCCCACTGGGTTTTACCAGGTTCCAGGGGAACCCTTACCTTTTGCAACTCTTCAAAGGTCTCTTGGCAGCACTCACAAAATCCCTTCTTCCTCTTTGGCACAGTGACTGGTGTGGACTGGGGGCTCTTCTCCCCGTCGCTGCGCACTGGACAGCCCTCCACATCCCTGCAAGGTAGCAGCAAAGATCTTCCCTGCTCACAGCGGAGCTGCAGCAGCAGGCACCCAGATCCCACATAAAGGCCAGGGATGCTTTAAGCTACAGCTGTTTAACCTGGAACAGCATCGGTGGCAGCTGCAGGGACCCACAGGGCTCCTTTTGCCATCATCCAGAAGATAAGTGCTTCTCTAAACCCCAGGAACTTGCAGGGCAACAGCTATCATGGGAATTGCTTAAACTCTTGCACAGAAGTAGCTACAACCTACCTGGCCCTGCAAGAATTCAAGAGGCTTTTCAGAGGCTCAAATGGGCTGGAGCTTTTAGGTGCCAGGAAGTTCAGGTCAGGAAAGCTTTTGAACTGGTGATGGAAGGGTCGGAATTGCCTGGAAAAAGCAGATCAGGACATCACATTTCTGACAGTGACAACATGGTCAGAGTTGTCATCCCTCCCTCAGAGGGGTTCAATGCATTGACTCATTTATAATGGGACACTGGCCATTGCTGTCTTTCCGTTTGGCTGCTCCAGAGATTCCACATTTCTTACTGGGGCAGGAAAGTACTAAATCCAATTCCTGATATGGCATTGGGGTGAGGGATGCTTTGGACAGAAGGCAAGCTTGCCTGCTCAGCTAAAAAACCCACTTTTCACCCCCAAGGCACGTCACCGGCAGCTAGCGCAGTATTTTCAGTTAAACAGAAGCATGGGAAAGTTCAAGTTCCCAGACGACATCTCTCTTCTTTGTGCTTTATTACATGCAGCATGAAAAACCTAGTATTTGACCCTGCAGCTGCCTTAAGTGTTATCTTCAGAATAATTAGTGCTCTAGATACTGTTAGAGTTTCAGAGGTAGAACACTACAGAGATCAGATCCCCTTGTGCTGGATGCTGTAATCAAGTTACAGGCCCTAACCTCATGCACTTCAGTCTATTTCCCCATTTCAGAGGGCTCAAGCAGATTAAGTGACCTGCCCAGGATCACACACGGAATCTGAGTAAGGAAGTAAACTCTTATCACGCCTTGCTTAGCGCCTTTCTTCTGACATATGAGCCACCTAGATTATTTCTCTGAACCCCATTTGCCTCCTCTAGAAGGGTGTCAGCTTCCCGGTGCTTGAAAGAGTCTTCAAAGATGACATGCTTTGCCTTGTGGACAAAAATATTCACTGCCCCTCATGTAAGGGACAGAGCAGGTAAAGGACTCCCCTCCCTAGGAGCCCTTGAAGTTTTAATATAGTTTGGCTGTGATATTTAGAAAAGTCTGATTTACCTGCTCTGGTCTTCAACCTTCAGAAAAGGTGCCTTCAATTTTCCTGCCAGAAAGAGAGTTGGTTAGAATTTACCCTGGCCAAACTCTCTATTTTATCATTCATTCCCTAATTGAATTGGGCTCTAGAGCCCAGCTCATCAGTATTTCTACCACCTGTGAATGCCAAGTGCTAGCTAAGCACAGCTAAGATGGAATCCAGAAAACATCCAGAAAATTTGGGTAATCTACAGCAGCCTCATCTCCAGAGTACTCTGTAGGCTGACCAAGGCCTGAAGGCAGTACAATAGTGGACTCTTTCCACTATTAAACTTGGAAAGAACATCCAGCTTCTCCCTGGACCTTAATGCAACAGCCTGGAGTTCAGAACAGCTCAGACCAGGGCTCTTAAGTCTAGGAAAGCTGTGAGAGCTAAGAGCTGCTGGAGAAAAACCAACGTTCACTTAGCATGCTATATAGTCAAGCCTGGCATGAGAATACCGCTAAATAGCAATGTCTGGCCTCAGCTTCGTCCCTGAGGAAGGCAAACAAGCAGCTATGTTTCTTACAGAGAAATATATTAAGGGAGCTGAAGAAAACCTCAGCAGTGCATTTGGTGAAGAAGTTCAGAGCCAGGCAGATGAATCCCAGCAGATCACCAGGCTGGGAGAAGATGCTACGTCCCTCCTGTCTGACAGGCTTGTTCAACTCACAGGTGATAACATTTTAGTCAGCCTGGAAATCTTAGTACAGATGCAATTTAAAAAACAAACTAAAAAATACCATGCACCGAGGTACCATCAGTGGGCATCTGCCTGACCCTGACACCAATACTCTGGTGTCTCCCTCATTGCCTCTAAAGAGGGAGAGGCTTTGTTTTCTTGCAATCCTGGAGCTCAAACCTATTTTCTCCAAACAAACTTTAACCTTGATCTCTGGAAAGGCTGAGTCCACCTGCCCCCACTAACAACAGTTCCTCAAGTCTCATCCCGAGCTTGCATCAAAGGTACTGTTACAATGCTGAAATAGTTATTTAAAGATAGGATCAATGTTTTCACATAAATGCTGCCAGTGCTTGGCACTTCTGAAAGTAAAGCCTCATTTAAGGGCCTAAATAGAACCAAGACTGGTGTGCAGGTCCAAAGCTCTTATGGCAGAGTGCTGAACAGTGACAAACAGTTCAGCTGTCAAGTCCCCAGGCAGAGCTCAGAGCGTGCCACAACTTAGAGGTCTTAGCTTGCAGCAGACCATCTGGCTGACAGCTTTGTGAGTCTCTTTTTACAACCTTTACCCCAAACTGGAAAATAACCTTCTAAGTGTCCCACACACAATCCAGGTTAGAGTTCAATCTGAGGTATTACTGAACTCTGAATTACTGAATTTGCTCTCCCATAGGCCAAATCAGTCAGAAACTGCTTTATGTCACTGGAGCAAATTCCAGTACCACAGTTGGCTCTGGTCTAATTGCAGATGAGAATGCAATTAGATGAGAACCTGTTTCCCCTCCCCCCCCGCCTTAGAAGGGTTAGCCCTAGATTGGTGTCTCAGCAGTATACTTCAGCCTAACAGAAGTGAGTGGGTTGTGAGGAACACGCTCTCCTCTCCAGGAGACATTATTATTCAAGACTTAGTTTGAACCAGTGGATGCAACATGCAGTGCCAGCAGCACAGTTCTTAGGCACCTCAGGATTCTGGGAGTTGAGTTGCAAACTGTTCATGGGATTTTTTAAAAACAGTCCCTGAATCAAAGGCATAATATTCTTAGCTGTTTTAGGAGGCTGTAGCTAGATTCAGAGAAGGAGTTACAAAAACAGTTCAAGAGAAACTGCTTTAACAGTTATCAGACTTTGAAAATCCATCTGAAACTTCAACAAACCAAATTCTAAATGAGGCTTCTTCAAGCAACTCTGCATTTGAGTGCAAATGGGAACACAGCTTCCAGGCCTACCTTTGCGAACTTCTGATCCAGAGGCAAGGCTTTTTGCCTAAAGGAAAG